TACTGTGAGCAATGGGATTGTCAAAGATTTCTGTTGCTTCTTTTGCTTTGGGGGGTTTCCTCTCTATCCATCCATCCATCCAACTTTCTCTAGCTCTACCTCTGAGATAGGATCTCATGTAGTCCAGACTGGCTTCGAACTCACTATGTAGCCTAGGATAGTCTTGAACTTCTGATCTTCCTGTTTCTACCTCTCAAATACTGGGATCAGAGGCCTATGCCGCCACACCTGGTCTATGTGGTACTAGGATTGAACCCAGGGTTTCATGCATGCCAAGCAAGCACTCTACCAATTGAACTATATCACCAACCCTGTTTTTGTCAACTTTGTTGACCATGTTGCCCAGGCTGCCCTCAAACTTGCAAGGATCTTCCTGCCTCCGCCTTCAAATATTAGATTAAAAGGAGAACCACTATGCTCAGCTCTATATATCTAGATAGATAGATAGATAGATAGATAGATAGATAGACAGACAGACAGACAGACAGACAGACAGACAGACAGACAGACAGATAGATAGATAGATAGATAGATAGATAGATAGATAGATAGAGATAGATATATAGATATAGATTAGATATAGATATAGATATTTTTTTTTGGTCTTTTTGAGACACGGTCTCCCCGTAGCCCCAGCTGTCCTGAAACTCACTATGTAGACCAGGCTGGCCTTGAGCTCACCAAGTGCTCTGCCTCCCGAGTGCCGGGATTAAAGGCATGCACCACCACGCCCGTCTTTTATTTTTTTTATTTTATGTGTATGCATGTATTGCCTGCATGTAGGTAAGTGCGCCCGTGTTGTGCAATGCCTGTGGAGTACAGAAGAAGCTGTCAGAGCCCCTGGAACTGGAGTTACGGACAGTTGTTAGCTGCTATGTGGGTGCTGGGATTCGAACCTGGGCCTTCTGCAAGAACAGCCAGTGTTCTTAACTGCTGAGCCATCTCTCCAGCCCCTGCTCCCTATATTTTTAATACTACAGATGTTTTGTGGGGGTTGGGGGGCTATTTGAGATACAGTCTCACTCTGTTGAACCCAGACTCTCCTAGAACTCACAGAAATCCTCCTACCTCAGTCTTCCGAGTAACAATTATAGGTGTGAGCCATCATAGCCAGCTTAATGTCTTTTGAAAAATAAGATATTAGAAGAAAGCTCTGCAGGTCCCTCCCCACCCTGCTCTGGATCTAGCTGTGGCAGATCTGGGGCACCAAGACCTTCTCTTTACCCTGGGGCTGAGCTGCCCTGTATTTGTCCATTCATGCCCCAACTTTGGCTATGACTTTCCAAGACCGCCCTGATCCAAGACTCCCTTCCCCAGATTAAAATGCTCCCCTGACACACACACAAGCCTCTCCTACCCAGTCTGTTCCTCCCAGCAGCCTTTGTGCCCTGGCACCATCTACCCATCTGCTTTGCTGTTAATAAGCCATGTGGAGACCTCAGCTCAAGATGCAGGGAGGCAGGGAAAGGGTGTGCACAATGAGGCCCCACCTTCACCCTTTCTTCCTCCCTCCCTCCCTCTCCAAGATCTCACTAGGTAACCCAAGTAACCAATTCTGGCTTCTGGCAATCCTCTGGAATCCTGGAATTATGAGGCTACTAGGCCTAGCTTTCCACATCTCATTTCAATGACAAAGGGCAATTTGCCAAGCATGTAGGAAGCCCAGGGTTCAATCCCCAGCAGTTTATAAACCCAGCATGTGGCCCATGACTAGAAGACTGTAATCCCAGCACTCTGGAGATAGAAATCAGAGGGTCAGAAGTTCAAGGACATCCTGGGCTACACAGGGAGTTCGAGGCCAACCTTGTCTCAAACTAAGAAAAGAAACAGTCACCTTTGCACAGATAAACAAGGAGTCATCACATGCCCCTGCAAGCTAAGTCAGGTTCATGCCCCAGGATGTGAACATACACCCCAACACACAGACTTGCAACCCCTGCTCACAGTGGCATAAGCGCCAAGAGGCTGAGACAAGCCAGAGGCCCACTGGCAAATGGACAGATAAACAAAGTGTGCTGTGTCCACACCATGGAATGTCATTCAGCCATAAAAAGGAATGAAGTACTGACGCACACCACAACAGGGATGAACACTACACTCTGTGAAAGAATCCAGACGCAAAAGGCTACACGGAGTATGGTTCTGTTTACAGGAACTGTCATGGACAGGCAAATCTTCCAACACACTGACTAGTAGCTGTAGGAACCAGGGCCAGGGAGAGGTGGGGAGGGACTGCTCATGCCTGAGGTCCAGCTGGAGGCAGTAAAAATGTTACCAAGTTGACAGGGGTTACACAACCTCCTGAATACACTAAAAAATACTAAATTGTACACTCTCAGAGGATGGATTTGGCTGGGCATGGTGGCATAGCTATTTGAAAGACTGAGGCGGGAGGATGACAGGTTTAAGGCCTGCCTGGGCTACAGGGTGAGTTCAAGGCCAACCTGGGCAATTAAGCAAGACCATGCTTCAAAATAAAAGGGTAACAAGAGCTGGGGATGTGGCTCAGTTGGTAGAGCGCTTGCCTGGCATGCACAAAACCCTGAGTTTGTCCCCAGCACCCATAAACCAAGTGTGGTGGTGCATGTTTATGTTTGTAATCCCAGCGCTGGGGAGGAAGATGCAGGAGAATCAGGAGAATTGAAAGGTGTGTTCCCAGGAGAGACGCTCCGGAGGCGCCCCCCTCCAGGAGGAGCTACAGGCTATTAGGCTGTTAACGGTTGCTGAGGGAAAAGGAGTCCTATTTCTCAGTGCTGTACCCCAGTGTGTTGCCCCCCACCCATGCTCATGCAAATGATCCTTTTTTTTTCGAGATGGGGGTCTCTCCCTGTAGCCCCAACTGGCCTGGAACTTGCTATGTAGGCCAGGTTGGCCTTGAACTCACAGCTACATCTGCCTCTGCCTCCTGAGTGCTGGGATCAAAGGCATGCGCCACCATGCTCCAGCCCCCAAAAGATCTTAATTAAAAGCAATGGGTCAGCAGGCATGGTGGCACACGCTTTTAAGGCAGAGGCAGTCAGATCTCTGAGTTTGAGGCCAGCCTGGTCTCCATAGCAAATCCAGGCCAGCTGGGGCTATGAGGAGACCCTGTCTCAAAAAGATGAAAAAAAAAAAAGCAATGGCTCATAAAACCAAACAACAAAAAAGACATGGAAGTAGGGAGGGACTTGTGAAGAGGAAGAGGAGGGTAACGTGAAAAAATATTACCAAGGTACATTATATATATGGATGAAATTATTCAAGAATAGATAGTGTTTTGGGGGCTGGAGAGATGGCTCAGTGGTTAAGAGCACTGGCTTCTCTTGCAAAGGACCCAGGTTCAATTCCAGGTACCCACATGATGGCTAACAGCTGTCCTTAACTCCAGTTCCTGGGGACCCAACACCTTCTTCTGACCTCTGTGGGCACTGTACAACACAGGTGCACTTACATACATGCAGACATTACATTCATACACATAAAAAATAAAATAACAAATAAAATATAAATATTAAAATATTAAAAAGAATATATATATGGGGATATTTTTGAGACAGAGTCTCCCTGTAGCCCCTGCTGGCCTGGAACTCGATATGTAAACCAGGCTGGCCTTGAACTCACAGAGATCCGCCTGCCTCTGGCTCCAGAGCGCAGGGACTAAAGATGTACACCACCATGCCCAACTAAAAAAAAGAATAATTTTTTTTTTTTGGTCTTTTTGAGAGAGGGTCTCCCTGTAACCCCAGCTGTCCTGGAACTCACTCTGTAGACCAGGCTGGCCTTGAACTCACAGAGTTCTGCCTGCCTCTGCCTCTGCTGGGATTAAAGGCGTGCGCCACCACACCCAGCTCAAAATAAATTTTTTTAAAAAGCAAATTTATGGGACTAGAAAGATGGTTCAGCAGCTAGGAGCACTAACTCTTCTTGCAGAGGACCTGGGTTTGGTTCCCAGCACCCATATAGCGGTTAACAACCATCTTTAACTCCAGTTTCAGGGGATCTGATGCCCTCTTCTGGCCTCTGCAAGCACTTCAGGCCTCCAAGGGCAATGCAGGCAAAACACTCATACACATGAAATAAAAATAAATAAAGGAAGTTTATGTCATTCTCAACACATAGGGAATTCCAGGTCAGCCTGGTCTACATAAGACACATCTAAAAAAACAAAACAACAAAACCAGGATTTGTGAGATGGCTCAGTAGATAAAGGCACTTACCACCAAGCCTGAGGACCTGAATTCAATCCCTGGGACCCACATGGTAAAAGATCTCACACACACACACACACACACACACACACACACACACACACATTAATTAATTTAAAGTAGCTATAAAAAACAAAACCCCAGGGTTGGAGAGATGGCTCAGCAGTTAAGAGCACTGACTGCTCTCGCAGAGGACCTGGGTTCCATTCCCAGCACCCACATGGTGGCTACGAACCATCCTTAACTCCAGTTCCAGGGGATTCTGAAGCTGTCTTCTGACCTCCGAAGCACTGCACAACACTGGTGCACTCACATACATGCAGGCAATACACTCATACACATAAAATAAAAATAATAAATAAATAAATAAATAAATAAAACCCAGCACAAAGCAAGTGCCCCATGATACTGCTTTCTTCCTGTTCCCAGCCTGGGACCAGGTGAGTTATAGCTCTCTGTCCATGCCTCAGTTTCCTGTGAGGATCAAAGAGTCTCTGCTTCACAGGACCATGAGGGTCAGGAGCAGTCATGCAGAGCCAAGGCAGACCAGACGGTCCCTAAATGTGGACAAAAGCTCTGACATGTATGAGGTATTCATCCCGGACCAGTGTCATCCAGCACCGCTGTTGGCAAGCTGTTGGTATCTGGCTCTGACTGCTCACTATTTTGGTTCCAACACTCCACTCAGAATGCCAGAACTTGGACAAGGAATAAAGGAGGCACCCAGCCTTCTATCCCCAGTGGATACAGCAGGCCCCGCCCTGTGGTCAACACTGACCCAAGGCCCTCCCCCAGCAATCCTGGGACACTCACAGGAAATGGCGAAGAGGGCCTTGACGCGTACCGTGTCGCAGGAGTCCCGGTCGAGCAACCGAAGCAGCTTGCGCAGGGCACCCAGTCCCAACACCTGCTCCTGGATGGCCGCCACATTCTGACTGCATGTGCCGATGAGCTGAGCTGCCCGCCAGCGCAACCCTGCAGCCCCTGCCTCCAGGTACCGGCCCACCAGCAGGTGCATGCCAGACAGCTGGCAGAAATCTGCAGACAGAAGAGAGAAAAATCGAGTGTCAGAGACGGCCAGTCACAGTTGACCTCCTGTTTAGAATACGACCATGTAGAAACAGGATATGAGGGGAAGGACTGCTTAATCGGTGTGAGGACTCTTTTGGGAGTGATGAAAGGGTCTGAAAATGAGCCAGGCCTGGGGCTAGGGATGTAGCTCAGCTGGTAAAGGGCTTGCCTTGAATTCATAAAGTCCTGGGTTTGATTCCCAGAGCCACTACACCAGGGATAGTGGCACACACCAAAATCTCAGCAATCTGGGCTGGAGAGATGGCTCAGTGGTTCAGAATACTTGCTACTCTTGTACCCAGGGTAAGTTCCCAGCATCCACCTGGCTGCTGTCAACCACCTGTAACAGCTGCCCTCTTCTGGCCTCCAGGAGTATTGTAGGCATATGGTATACTTAGTTAATGCAGGCAAAATGCTCGCAACACATAAAATACAAATAAGTAAATATAAAATAAATATCCCAGGGGCTAGAGAGATGGCTCAGCAGTTAAGAGCACTGACTGCTCTTATAGAAGATCCAGGTTCAATTCCCAGCACCCACATGGCAGCTAACAACAGTTTGTAACTCCAGTTCCAGGGGAATCAGACACCTTCTTCTGACCTCTGTAGGCATTGCATGACAAGGGTGCACTCACACACATGCAGGCATAACCCTCGTACACATAAAATAAAAATAAATAAATATATAAAAAAAATAAATATCCCAGCCGGGTGTGGTGGTGCAAGCCTGTAGTCCCAGCACTTGGGAGGCAGAGGCAGGCGGATCTCTGAGTTCAAGGCCAGCCTGGTCTACATAATGAGTTCTAGGACAGCTGTGGCTACAGGGAGACCCTGCTTCAAAAAGACCAGAAAATAAATAAATAAATAAATAAATATCCCAAAAATCAGGAGGTAGAGGCAGGAAGATCAGAAGTTCAAGGTCATCCTCACTACATAGAAAGTTCAAGGCCAGTCTGGGACACATCAGAAGGACAGACACACATAAGTGCACACACGCACACACACACACACACACACACAAATAATAAAATAGAAAATAGGACTGGTGGCTCATGCCTATAATCCCAGCTACTTGGGAGGCTGAGACAGAAGGATCAAAAGTTCTGCCTGGGCTACAGAGAGTTCAAGGCCAGCCTGGGCAACTTTGTGAGAACCCGCTTCAAAACACAAAATACAAATAGGGCTAGGGAGAAAGCTCAGTAATAGTGTTCTTGCCTGGAATGTTCCAGAGCCTAGATTCAATCCCTAGAACCACAAAAAAAGTGTCTGGAAGTAGACACGTGACAGTCGCACCAGTAAATGCTGCTCCTGTGCTGGCACATGCTGTGCTGTGATCCCAGCACCTGGGAGGCAGACGTAGAATTGCCATAAGTTCAAGGTCAGCCAGGGATTTATACAGAGTCCCAATCTCAAACTCAAACTACATACACATACACACATACACAAATAAGTAATAAATAAATAAATGCTATACACCTGAAATGGCTAATTCTGTTTTGTGACTTTTTTTTTTTCGGTCTTTTTGAGACAGGGTCTCCCTGTAGCCCCAGCTGTCCTGGAACTCACTATGTAGACCAGGCTGGCCTTGAACTCTCAGAGATCCACCTGCCTCTGCCTCCTGAGTGCTGGAATTAAAGGAGTGCGCCACCACGCCTAGCCTATTTTGTGACTTTTTAAAAAAAATTTATCTTTATTTTACGTGTATGACTGTTCTGCCTACATGTACATAAGTGCCAGTGCCATGCAATGCCCACAGAGGCAAGAAGAGGGGGTCAGGCTCCTTGGAACTAGAGTAATAGACAGTTGTTAGCTGCCATGTGGGTACTGGGAACTGAATCCAAGTTGTCTACAAGAACAGTCAGTGCTCTTAACCACTGAGCTATCTTTCCAGCCCCTTGTGATTTTTAAAAAATTTATTTACTTTTTATTTGTGTGTGTGTGTGTGTGTGTGTGTGTGTGTGTGTGTGTGTGTGTGTGTGTAGGTATGCACATGTATGTAGAGGTCAGAGGACAATCTCTAGGACTCTGTTCTCTCCTTCCACCATGTGGGTTTCGGGGACTGAACTCAGATCATCAGGTTTGGCAGCAAGTACTTTACCCACTGAGCCATCTCGCTGGCACCTGTTTTGTGACTTTTACATTGATAATAAGTAGGGCAAACAATCCATGCTTAGAAACTGGTCCTGGTGGCTCCTACCCATAATCCCAACACTTGGGAGGTAGAGGATGGAGGATGGAGGATCAGGAGTTCAAAGTCAATCTCTGCTACAGTGCAATTTCAAGGCTAGCCTGGGCTGCCTGAGAATTTGTCTCAAAAAAACAAGAATGACCTATATTGTGTACTGTGACCCTCTGGCCCTGCTGTCCCAGTGCCATTTCCTACCCCTGGATGGTCGCAGGATCACACTCTTCCTTGGCAACTTTCCTTTCTGCTCTGACTAAGATAGGTACAATCCAACCTTAGGATCTTTGCACTGACTATTCCTGCAGCCTGGAATGTTTCCTCCAAAATACACGGTCACTCAGGTCTCTGATCAAATGCTGCCCCTCAGGGAGGTCTCACTTGACCACTCCACCCAAAACCACCTCTCCTCTCCTCCTCTAGAGAATGACAGTAGATGGCCAGCAGATTAGGAGGGAAATGACCAGTCTCAGGACTTATCAGGGAAGTGGCAGACCAAACCTTCATACAGTGACTTTGTGGGGTACAAGAAGGGAGAGGCTGGAAGTGACTGGTGGTGATATCTTAGAGATAAGGGACAAGGGCTGAGCCGTGCAGGATGTGGGACACTCTGGTGGGGTTGGGGGGTACTTGCATATGGGACGGAGGAAACTCTGATGGGGTTGGAGGTACCTGCATAAAGGACGAGGGACATACTGGAAGGGATTGGGAGGGGTATCTGCATACAGGATGTGGAAAACATTGGTAGGGGGTAGGTACCTGTATATGGGATGTGAGATACACTGGGAGGGGTTGTAGGGGGTACCTGTATACAGGATGTGGGATACACTGAGAGGGGTGGGGGGTACCTACATATGGGATGTGGGACACACTGGGAGGGATTTGGGGGACTACCCACACACAGGATGTGGGACACACTGGTGGGGTTGAGGTTTACCTGCCGCATTGTCCATGTTTTCGCACAGGTCTGCCAGCAGTTCCAGTGCCCCTTCCCGCTCCTGCTGGTCAGTGGCTAGCTCAGCCTCACCAGCAGCTGGGGGTGTGGGCTGGGACAGCACCCGGAGGCAGCTCTTCATCTGCTCCACCTCCTCTCGCTGGCCCCGGAAGGCAGCTGACATGGCTTCCTGTAGCCACTGGCGTCTCTAGGGGACAAGGGGAGGGAGAAAAGTCTTGGTGATCGCTTAGGGAATAGCATTAATATTACAGCCAAAATTCAAGGGGTGATGACTTCTTCCATCAACAAGCAGCTAGGAAACTGAGGGTGAGGGATGGGTCCTCATTTTGTAGCTCAGTCAGTCTGGCTTCCAACTCACAGCAGTCCTCCTGCCTCAGTCTCCCAAGTGCTAGGATGAGAAATGTGAGTCACCCCGCCCAGCTGGATGCATGTTAGTTTCGTGTTTTCACAAACCCTCTTCCAGGTACTTAGGGACTCAAAAGTCCTGAAACAAACAGGTTCAAAACGAAACAAAACAAAACAACAACAAAAACCCTAGCTTTCGCAGAGCAGGGGTGCAGGAGAGGGAGGAAGAGAACTAAAAATGGCAATATAAAAAAGACTGTGGGGAAGATTAAGGAGAAGCCCAGGGGAGCTGAGGTGGGGCTGCAGAACTAAATGGGGTTGTCAAGAGAGGGCCATGTATGAGCAATGAAATAGGCCAAGGAGCAGTCAGGCAGGTACCAGGGAGAATATTCCGGGAGGAGGCAATAGCCAGGTCACCAGAGTGGCTGAAGAAGGGTTAAGCAAGGGAATAAGAGAACAAAGTTGAGGAGAGAGACAAACACCCCAGGGAGACGAGCAGGTCAGAACTTGTAGACAGTTGTAAAGACCTGGGATTCTGCTCTGAATGAAGTGGGGGAGCTGCAAACAGAGCTTTGAACAGAGGTAGGAGCACAGACTGAAAGAGCAGTGATCCATCCAAGAGAGGTGATATGGAGCTAGGCACAGTGCTGTATCTGTAATCCCAGCACTGGGGAGGTAAAGGCAGGAGGATCAGGAGTTCGAGGTCATCTTCAACCATGTATCAAGTTAAAGGGCAGCCTGAGCTATATGAAACCCTGTGTCACGGAGAGACAGACAGACAGACAGACAGAGACAGAGGGGATGCAGGGAGAGGAAGAGGGGCAGGGTAGGCATGTTGGGGAGGTAAGAAATGGCCAGATCCTGGTCTCTGAAAAACTAATATGAGCAGCTAAGACAGGAGGTAAGACAGGAATCAGGGTTTCTGTCCTGAGTAACTAGTGGGTTTGGAAGGGGAACAGCAGAGACAGGGGCTCGCTTCCCAACTTGTTAGGTTTGGGGCTCTGCTACACAACCAGGTAAAATACAGAGTAGGTGCCTCAGTAGGTGCCCTTGAGTTCAGGGCAGAGGTCCCACTTAGAAGAGCTTTCAATCTTTGCTCTCCTGACACCGAGCTGGGTGGTTCTATGCAGTGGTGACTGTCCTAAGGACTGTAGGATGGTGAACAGTGTCCCTGGCCTGTGCCCTCCAAGTTGTGACAGGCGCTGCTCTACCCATTGCTAACTGTTCCCTGGGAGGAGGGGGTGTGAGCAGGATGGGGAATGAGGAGAAACCAACAACAGACATAAACAAGGGCCAGTGAGTACAGAGGAAAACCAAAAGACTACATTGTCCCAAAAGAAGGAAGATTCAATAATTAGCAGGCATGGCTGTATACACCTGTAATTTCAGTACTGGAGAAGTAGAGGCAGGAAGACCAAGAGATCAAGGTCATTTGGGCCACACAGAGAGTTCAAGGCCGGCCTGGGCTATATATGAGAACTTGCCTCAAATTTAAAAAAAAAAGGGTGGGGGTAGAGGGGAGGTTGCAAAGCTTTGCAATCACAGTACTCAATAAATTTGGGCAAAACTATCTCCTTGTTTTGTACCTGTTTCCTCCTTGTGTTTTAAAGATTTAATGACACAAGGTATATAGATTAATCCATAATGAATGAGAACAATATTCTAGCTAAAAAAACTACATGTAAAATTTCTATCAACCTTCAAGACAGCTCTACCAACTATTATTATGGTATGTGACTTGCCCAAATCAAGGTCATGGTCAGCCCCAAGCAAAGTCCAACCACACCACACACTGTGTCCAGCCCTATTTAAACTGGCACCTCAGAACCACCTTGTGAAGGAAGCATGGTCATTAGGATTCCTATTCTCATCAATCTGAAAATGAATGAAACCTTGAGGATCAGAAAGATTAAATAACAAACCCAAGCTCACGTTTCAGGGACAGTGCTGAATCCTAGCTCTTTTTTTCCCTCACAAGAGGTTATTCTGCTTTTCAGAAAGAGAATGTGATCAGACACTTCACAGCTGACCTTCAGCCTATCATGACGCCACATCTAGACTCTGGTCCCCTACCCAGGGAAACCCCCAGCTTCTACCTCCCCAAGACAGACACCCAGACCCCTCATACCAGGTTCTTGAGTCCCCATACTCTACCTCCTCGCTCATGGGTTCTGGAGGGGGGTCTGGTTCCTCGGAGCCTGCAGTAATAGCCATCTGCAGCAGGCCTTGGAGATTGCGTGGGGGCCGGGGATTGCCGGAGCCCCCCGCCGAGGAGCCACTGCCCCCGGATGAGCAACCCTGGGAGGCTGGGGGCAGCGCCAGGGGCAGGCGACTGCCCCCTGAGCCTTTGTCTGCCATGGACTTTTTGTGAAGGGAAGAGGTGTTGAAGGAAGATGATGGTCACCGCGGAGGCAGCTCAGACGTCCGGATGGGTCGACTCTGGAGGGTCTGCTGAGAAGGTGGCGTTATAGGGGTGCTTGGCGCCTCCCTGTGACCCCAGACCATTCTTTCCACACCCACGTTAACCACAGCCCCCTTTCCTTCATTCAGACCAACAGAACCCTTCCCCAAATCCAGACGCCCCCCCTTCTTCCCTAACAGGCCCCACCCACGCTCCCTGGCAACGAGCCCCCTCCCCCATCGCCACAGCGTGCGTCCCCGTCTCTTAGCAACCCACTGCCCCTCTTCTATTTGCAATAAGCCCTCCTTCACTGTCCTTAGAAATAAGTCTCCCCCTTTTCTCTTTGAAGAGGGGTGCCCCGATGGGACAGGTCTCACCTCCCCGGGTCTCGAGCCGCCGCCACGCCTAAAGACAGAATCGCCCGCACCTAACTCGGTTGGGCGCCGCCATCTTAATCGGAAATACGCAGGGTTTCACTCGGAAGTGTCTCCTGAATCCACCCGACTTGCCTGGAGCTGTCTGCCGGGTTCTAAGCCCCATCCCCGACGGAGGCGGAACTCGGCCCCGCCTCTTTAGTCCATGCCCCGCCTCCTCTGGCCCCGCCCTTCACGCACGCGCTCCTGGTCTAAGCCCCTCCTCTCTCGGCCATGCCCCGCCTCCTCCCTTGGTCCCGCCCCTCACACAACCCCGCGCCTAAGCCCCACCTCCTACTTTAGCGAGTCCTTGACTCTTCTTCCTTACTGCAAGCTCTTCCCCATCCAAACACAGGCCCCGCCCACACCCATATTCTCCTGCCCCTCGTTCTAGGTTTTTCGACCTCTCCAGGTCAAAAACGGCTTTTTCGCTAAGCCCCGCCCCAGCACCTGTCATTCCCCTCATTAAGCCACGCCCCCACATAGACCACTGGTGCGGGTCTGACAGGTTCATACTTTCTACCTCTACAGGAATCTGGGATATCATCCCTAATACTCCAGCTATGCAACCTGAGACCTAGTGTTACCCATTTCTTGCCTCAGTTTCCCCACTCCTCAAATGGCTTCAGTGTGAACCACTTTTTCGTGTGGGGGGTATATGTCTTCGTGTGTGTGCACGTGTGTGTGCACGTGTGTGTGTGCGTGTGTGTGCGTGTGTGTGTGTAAGCATCATCTGGTGTCTTCCTCGCCACTGTGTTTTTTAATTTAATTTTTTTATTTTATGTGTATGAGTGTATTGCCTGCATGTGTGTAAGTGCACCCATGCAATGCTCATGAAGGTCAGAAGAGGGCAACAGATCTGGAACCAGAGTTACAGATGGTTGTTAGCTGTCATGTGAGTGCTGGGAACTGAACCTGGGTCCTCTGCAAGACCAGCCAGTGCTCTTAACCACTGAGCCATCTCTCCAGCCACAGCAAGGTTTTTTTTTACATTTATTTAGGGAGTGGGGGGTGAGCACACCATGGTGTGTGCATAGAAGTCAGAGGACAACATGGTTCTCTCCTTGCCCACTAGTTGACTTTTTTTTTTTTTTGCATATTGATATAGCCCAGGTGGCCTTGAACTCATTATGTATCCTCCTACCTCTAGTTGTAGTTGATCTGTACACCTGTAATCCCAGTACTTGGGAGGTAGAGGCATGAGGAACTCAAGGCCAGTCTGAACTACCTAAGATCCTGTGGAAAGGAAGAAAGGGAGAGAGGGAGGGAGGGAGGGAGGAGGGGAGGGGAAGGAAGGAAGGAAGGAAGGAAGGAAGGAAGGAAGGAAGGAAGGAAACCTGGATAGGGGCCCTCCAATTAAGTGAGGCTTGATCACAGACTTATGGTGTGTCTGCTGGCCTTGGTTGTAATAGGCCTCAGGGGTGTGTACCTCTGTGGTATACACAGGGCCTGTGGGTCTCTCTATTTTACTGCTACAAACAAATTGCAAAGATCTTGGTGGCTTAGAACAACACACATTATCTTGCAGTTGTAGAAGGTAGAAGTTTGAAATGATTGTCACTGGGCTAAAATCAAGGTGTGCACAGGAGTCTCTCTAGAGGTTCCTGGGGAAGGTTTTCCTTGCCTTTAAGAGCTTCTAGAAGCTACCTTCATTGGCCACACCTGCTTGCACCTTCTTATCGCCTTACCTGACTTGGACCCTCCTCATTCCTTTTACAAAGACCTTGTGATTTTGAGGGCCCTACCTAGTTAAGACAAGATGTTCTGCCCTCCTGATCCTTAACTGAATCACATCTTCCAAGTGTCCTTTGGCTTGTAAGGTCATATATTCACAGGTTCTGGGAATTAGAATGGGAATTAGGAACAGGTCTATGTATGTATGAGAAATGATATATGATGTCATAGAAATGTATATATAACTTGTAATTTGTATCTTATATATGAATATTATATATGTACACACACACACACACACACATGCTGGTAGCCTAGCTGAAAGCTCCTGTGTATACTATAAAAGTTGTAGTATGACATATATCCCATGAAAGCTTTACAATAACCTACAAAGAATGTGATCATAACTTTGCATCTGTACTGAGACACCAGAGTGAAAGGGGGTTCTATTAAATAAAGAATGGAAGCCAGACATGGTGGCATATGTCTATAATCCCAGCACTTGAGAGGTGGAGGCAGGAGGATCAGGAGTTCAAGGTCAGCCCAGCCATAATAGGAGGTTTGAGAACAGCCTCAGCTACATGAGACCATGTTTCAAAAAGAAGGTATAGGAGCTGGAGAGATTAAGAGCACTGGATGCTCTTGCAGAGGACCCAGGTTCGAGTCCCAGCACCCATATGGCAGTTAACAACCATCCATAACTCCAGTTCCAAGGAATCTGATATCTTCTTCTGGTCTCTGTAGGCATTATATGCACATTGTGCATGTACATGTAGGTAAAACACTCATACACCTAACATAACAATAAATAAAATAAATTTTAAAATAGAGAGCCAGGCACCTGACACAGGTCTTTAATCCCAGCACTCAGGAGGCAGAGTCAGGTGGATCTCTGTGAGATTGAGGCCAGGCTGGTCTACACAGTGAGTTCCAAGCCAGCTACGGCTACAGGGAGACCCTGTCTCAAAAAGGCATTTATATATATGGGCTAGGGAGATAGCGCTGGGATTAAAGGCGTGTGCCAACACACCCAGCCATAAGTAAAATATTTTTAAAAACCGAAATGTCCCAGCACTCGGGAGGCAGAAGCAGGCGGATCTCTGTGAGTTCAAGGCCAGCCTGCTCTACATAGCGAGTTCCAGGACAGCTGGGGCTACAGGGAGACCCTGTCTCAAAAAGACCAAAAAAAAAAAAAAAACAAGATGGACAGCTCCTGAAGAATGACATCCAAGGTTGAACTCCAGCCTCCACATGCATACGCACACTTGCACTTACATCTACACATATATGCACTGCACACACATGAACATGCACATACACAATAAATTATGGATGTGGGAGAGTAATCAGAATACATCATATATCTTTGTATGAAATTGTCAAAAGCCAAATTTTATGTTAAAAACAGGTGAAAAGGATCATAATAAATGCAGAATATCAGGCATAAACCAAAAACATATGATGACCTACTTATTATTATTATTATTATTATTTATTATTATTTTTTGGTCTTTTTGAGACATGGTCTCCCTGTAGCCCCAGCTGTCCTGGAACTCGCTATGTAGAGCAGGCTGGCCTTGAACTCACAGAGATCTGCCTGCCTCTGCCTCCCAAGTGCTGGGATTAAAGGCATGTGCCACCACGTCCGGCCTGGTGACCTACTTTTTTTAAATTTTTATTTATTTATTTATTTATTTTTATTTTGTGTGTATGTGTGTATTGCCTGCATGTAGGTAAGTGCACCTGTGTCATGCAATGCCCGCAGAGGACAGAGAGGCTGTGATCCCCTGGAACTGGAGTTATGGACAGTTGTTAGCTGCCATGTGGGTGCTGGGATTCGAACCTGAGTCTTCTGCAAGAACAGTCAGCTTTCTTAACCACTAAGCCATCTCTCCAGCCCCATGATGACCTACTTCTAAGGTGCAATATCTATGGGGGAGGGCCTTCCTCTCCCCTCCCTTCCTTCCCCTCCCCTCCCTTCCTTCCCCTCCCCTCCCTTCCTTCCCCTCCCCTCTACTCCCCTGCTTCTTGCCTTCCTCTTCTCTGCCACGCATCTTGGACACTCTGGACTTATTAGGATATATATATATAGAGAGAGAGAGAGAGAGAGAGAGAGAGAGAGAGCCTGCTCCTGCCTCTGGACCTTTGTACTTGCTCTCTCTCTCTGCCAGAACTACTCCTTGCTTTTTGTCTGCATAGCTCATTTTACTTCCTGGTCACCTTACCTAAACTCATACCTTACTCAAGAAACACTTCATGGGACTGCAGAAATGGCTCGGTGGCTAAGAGCACTTGGTGCTCTTGAAGAGAACCTGAGTTTGGCTCCTAACACCCACATCAGGCAGTTCACAACCACTTGTTCCACTTGTTATTCTAGCTCCCAGGAATCCCATGCCCTCTTCTGATCTCCACAGGCACTCACATACTCATGTATAAATTAAAATCGAATCTATATATATTAGAATGGCTGGGCACGGTGCTGCACGCCTTTTATCCCAGCATTCGGGAGGCAGAGGCAGGCGGATCTCTGTGAGTTCAAGGCCAGCCTGGTCTACAAAGTGAGTTCCAGGCCAGATGAGGCTACAGGGAGACTGTCTCAAAAAGACATATATATATTTATTTATTTTTAATTTTTAAATCTAAGAAACAAAAAGATACTTTCTAACCCCCTTCTCCTTAGTCACCTTTTCAAGACAAATCCTGACTGACATCTCTAATGACTTCTTTTTTAAATATTTTATTATTTTTATTTTATATGTATAAGCTTATTGCCTGCATGTGTGTAAGTGCACCTGGGTTGTACAATGGCCTTGGAGATCAGAAGAGGGTATCAGATCCCCTGGAACTGGAGTTAAGACAGTTGCTAGCTACCATGTGAGTGCTGGGAATTGAACCCAGGTCCTCTGCAAGAACAGCCAGTGCTCCTAACTGCTGAGCCATCTCTCCAGCCTCTCTAATGACTTCTTTTTATTGTTTATCAGCTGCCTTTTCCACAAGCATGGAAACCCCAGAGGGCAAGGAATTTTATCCATCCAGCACCCTGCCATACCCCTACCAACTGGACCAGTGCCTGGCTCAGATTTGGTGCTCAGATAGATTCCTAGAATGAAGGTGGAAGTTTAGCATCTCAAGATTCCACCCTATAGGTGACTTGAGGATTGAGTATGTGCCTAATGGCTTTGGGTACCTGATATAGAGGAGGCTGTGGGTTTTTTGGAAACCTAATGGGGACTGAATTACACATAGTTGAACACAGATCTATGGATGTACCCACTGGGGTGTATAGATTATACTGGGACCCACATGAAGGTTTACAGGACTTACAACAGTACAGAATACATAGGGATCTATTATCTATCTATCTATCTATCTGTCTGTCTGTCCATCTATCTATCTATCTATCATCTATCTATCTATGCACACACACACAGAGGACAGCTAGGCATCATGGCACAGGACTGCAATTCTGGCACTTGGGAGGCAAAGGCAAGAGGATCAGGAGTTCAAGGTCTTCCTCAGCTACATAGTAAGGTTGATGATAGCCTGGGCTATGTGAGAACTTAATGAATGAATGAATAAATAAATAGAGTGGTGCTCTAGCTCTGTGGTAGAGAACTTTCTTGCATGTGGGAGGCCTTAGTTCAACCTCCAGGACCACAAAATTATATATATATATATATATATATATATATATATATATATATATATATATCTCTGTGAGTTGTGGAAGT